GGAGTAGATTTGCTGCTGTGCTATAAAACATTGTGTTTTTGTCTCATCTTGTTTCATGTTTGACTCTAGAACACTTTGACCCCTCGAGGTGTTCATGGTTGACACAATGACAGCAATGTGCTCAGGTCCTGTGGGTGCAAAACAAACCCAAATCTTCACTCCTCCACCGCCGTGCTTGACAGTTGGTGTGAGGTGTTTGTGCAGATATGCTGCGTTTGGTTTTCTCCAAATGTGCTGCTGTGGATTAGAGGCAAACCATCTCCACGTTGGTCTTGTCTGTCCAAAGGACATTGTTCCACGGGTCTTGTGGTTTGTTCAGATGCAACGTTGGAAGCCATGCTGCTATGTTCTTTTCAGAGAAGAGGCTATTTCCTGGCAAGCCTTACATGTTCAGTCTTTTTCTAATTGTACTGTCATGAACTTTAACAGTTAACATGCGAGCTGAGTCCTGTAAAGTCTGAAATCTAACTCTTATGTTTTTTTGCAGTTTCACTGCACATTGCACGGTCTGCTCTTTAGGTGAACTGGCTGACAGGTCAACTCCTGGGAAGATTGGACTACACCTAAATAGTCCAGACATGCAAACCACTAAAACTTCTGTTTTTATAGAGCTGCTCATACGTACTGATCACTGATGATCAGCTAAAAGAGTGCATTTGATTAGCGTCACCTAGCTAATACTTACCTCCCCGATTCCTGTAGAAGCAGTTAGGATAGTCCTAGTTTTTCACAGGAATGGATATAGCCATGTGGAGTTTTGTGTCCCCACATGATTTTATGTTTTGTTTTTCTTATTTTGCTAATAATTTATTGCATAACTAAGTCATTAATCCTGGTAAAATGTTTTGTATTTATAATGGTTGATCTTGTATACTGGATATTGTCTTTGCAGCTTGTACCACATACTAATCAATAATACAGTTGTTATGGTAATTACCTGGCTCTTGTTAAAAAAACAGAAGAAGAGCCAAGTTTTTAGATTTGCAACAACACTTTGTGAAATAGTCCAATGGTAATAAAGCAATCAAACTAAATAATTCAAATGTATTGTTGTTTATTGTTAGCAGCTGAGTCTTTCATATAAAAATCCAAGAAATCTGACAAAAGGATTTCCAGAGCGAACCAGCAGATTTTATTTAAACAGTTACTTTAGCACATTTAATGAAGCCTTGGAAAATTTTACTTTCATCAAAGTATATAGCCCAGCATCACAGTATATTATCATTTCAGTAGCAAAACTGCTCAGGTTTAATGTCTGTGATGCAAAGTAACTGGAACAGGGCACGTGCCAAGTTACTGTGGATGATTGATCTATTTTGTTTTTTTGACGAGTCGCTAGATAGAAACTCAAGTTTGGGTTCATATCTCCATGTGTGGTTGGTTAAAAACAACTTAATAGTACATGAAAGGTTTCCCTTTTCCCATGTTTTGATACCAGGCTTATCTTCTAAACCATGAATGAAAATCCACTTTTTCTTCAAGCAATATTAGTATAGCTTCTTTAAATATATAAGTTATTGTTCTAAAAAGCTGATTCTAAGAGAAATGTTTGTTTTTTAATGGAATAGCCTAGATATGCTAGTCTGTGCATCATAATCATACAGTTCATGGCTGAGCTTGGCAGCATGAGCAAGATCCTCTTGTCCAAGTTCCCTTAAAAAAAAAAAAAAAAAAAAAAAGGCCAACAATTATACAGCGCTTTGAGTACTCCGGGAGAGTAGAAAAGCGCTATATAAGAATCAGTCCATTTACCATTACCAGTTGATCAATAGCTGACAGTGTGGTGATGGTCGATCTTTCAGACCACCTGCATTCTCTTCACTTATGCAAACAAACATCAAACCGTCTTTACTGTAGGAGTGGCACCATGTAGACTTTATTTTCAGGCTTTAAAATCACACAGTATCTATAGTACCATAGATAAAACCAGGAAATAAATAAATCGTAATACTACAGTAGCACATTAAAAAGACACATTTCATGTTACAGGTTTAGTTTCCACCGTTACTGAGTAAGTACTTGAAAGGGGGAGATGTTTCAGTGCATACGCAGCACAACAGTGCGCATGCATGGACTGCCACACACGTGCCATGGACGTGGCCCATGTGTCCTTGAGGTTTACCTACGCCAGAATGTTACAATACATCTCACATGTTTCATTTCACTGTAATGCAGTCATTCCACAATGCGTTTGTCCATTAACTCACATGTTAACGACTGTGTCACATGTTAAAAATGTTGCGTTAAAGCATTCGCCACTTGGTTTAGAGTAGCTTAGGCCTCCTTCAAGCAGACAAAATCTCAAGTAAATCTTCAGCACGAGTCCAAAATGCGTGACATTAAATTAAGTTTCCCCTGTAAGGTGAATAATAGAGTTCAGCAGCTAAACTGTAAAAGTGGACTTCTCCACGTAGATACACAAACAGTCCCTGAACATTCCTTTCCCCCTGTTGTTTGTCCAGTTTGGGAAAAAAAAAAAACCTTCGCTTTTTTTTGGTGAGTCGAAGTAGATTGCAGATTGTTCTCTGTGTGCTTATGGAAATAAGGTTACTGTGTTTGGAAGAAATGTGACCACTTACCCTCCAAACCTTAAAACACTACAATAGGGAGGGAATCAGCAGTCTGTCTGCACTTGACAGGAACGTGTATGATTTCAGGGTGGCACAGGCTGATCTGCATCTAGCCGTCCAGAGGTTTTCCCAGGTACACCATGGTGACTTCAGTGTTGCCGTATACTGCAGACACAGCAGGGAACAGGCAGGTTTTGGGCAGTCCACGGAAAGCCACTCCGAGAAACTCAAAACCTCTCTCAAAGGCTAACGTCTTGTCATCCATGTCTAGAATCACTCGTATTCTCTCCCCGATCTGTGGACAGGCACGGTCACATCAGGAGTTATAATCATGTTTTCACTTGTACTCTTTACACAATTTCCTTTTAAAACGTCATTTCAAATCTCGACTCCTACCTGATATTTAGGTGCATTGTTACACTGGGGGAAATTCCCGTTGACTTCTCCGTTGTGAAGCAGGTTATTGTCGACCAGGTTCCAGCCCCAGCTCTGGTCATCGCTGCCCAAGAGGGCTACGTAGCCCTGGCACTGCATCTGCGCCCGCTTCGTAGCGATACCTATCACTGCCACGGTGCCCAGGGGGCCCTCCCACCAGATTTCCCAGGCATGTCGCCCTTCCGAAAAGCCGATTTTGCCCCGCGCGCCGTCTGTGCTCTGGGCAATAGGGTTGCGGTGCAGAGTGAAGCCGTTCTTCTTCACGTAAACGTTGCGGGAGCAGTCGTGGGAGCTCAAAGCATGCTGAAAGGCCTTGAGCTGCACAGGAAGACAGTTACAGTTAACAAAATCACAGACACTTGCTGGGAAATCTAAATATTTGTAAGGGGAAAAAAGTTCTGTGAAGCATGCATACAGAAGAAGAGACATGCTACTCCACTTTCCATCTCGCAGGACGCTCATTGCACCATTCAGAGGTGCAGAGCTCAAATATTTTTCATAAGAATGTAGGTCGTGTTTCTAAAAACACTTTGGAACAAATGAATGAGCGTCCTTAGATTGACATTGGACACAGACAAGTTGTTCTCATTCAAACCTTACTTTCATGCCATCAACACTCCTATAAACAGTCTCCATACACAGACTGCTTAGAACAGGTTTTGTTCTATTATGCAACAATAGACTGGAGAGTCAATTCAATATGGACTCCAGTGATAAGCCCAATGGCAACAAAACATCTGCTCTACACCTGCTCAGTGTGATCACCAACTGAAAGACAATAATACAACAAGCAGGATTCAGTTTTATGCCCGTTTATGTCTTATATTTCATTGAATACGTTAAAAAGCACTAGATTACGCTGACATTCAGTAATGTTTATGGCTACATTGTCCCTTTGTGTAAAGGCATAATCAAACAGGTAACCCCAGGATAGAGGGATGTGTACTGGTAAACCTACTTTGCCCTTGTAGGTGGGCAGGTTACAAAGGATGTCAGACCGCAGAGCCTCGTCGCTCAGAGTCCGGCTGCAGAGGCTGCGCCACACCTCGCTGTTTTCATCCGCCAGGATATTGTTCCAGTGCCAGCAGACCAGCGAACACCGCATCAGGTCAGTCAGCTCCAGGTAGGAGAAAACATGCTCCAAAACCCTCGCTGGTAGCCTCCCCGCCACCCCTGCGCCTCCTCCGGCTGCAGCCGCATATGGAGAGCCGGTGGAGCTGCAACTGGCTGCCGCTGCTGCGCCCAAGCAGGAGGAGCCTCCTCCCCCACCCGCCGCTCCAGACATTATGCCCCTGCTCTTCACCGACGACGCCAGCTGAGCGAGTAGTTTCACCGTACACCGCAAGACGGTTCCTAATATGAGCTCGGCAGCAACATTTTTAACCTGTGAAAAACCCACACGTAGATCGCGCTAAAACCACAACAGTATACGGACCCGACTCTTCCCACTTCAATGGCTGAATGGAAACGATGCGTCAAGGTCCTCAAAGGGCACGAAGCACTAATTGTCCCGTTGTCACAGAAACGCGAAAATTATTTCGGAAGAAACAGTGGTCAGTTTAAGAAGTAAGCAAAGTCTCCCGAGTCCGGAGACGACGAGATATTAGATAAAGCAACAGTCACGCTCGAGTCAAATAAATTTTACCGCCTGCAAGGACCGCAGAGCCGACATAATGAGTTCAAGGAGGGTTGCTACACAGTACTGTTGCAGTGTTGCGATACTGGACAACGTCAAAAGTGTTGTGATTGTGTCGCAAAAAATACGAACCGTATTAAAAGACGATGCAGTTGTTTACCAATAAAAGGCGTTATCTGACCTGTTACGTCATGTTGGTTGGATTTGATAATTATTTTCAGATCGTGTTTGACGGAAAACTAATGATAATAGTTTAAAAAGAACTACTGGTGTTTTCATTGTTTAACATGGGATTTACACGTTGTTGAAAGAAAACAAAACCGGCATCTTATATAAAGTAGACTATATTATTTTATTTTTTAATTTGTATACCACGTGACACCACGGAAGTGACGCGGGGTGCTCAAAAGAGTTAAGCAAAGCATCTGGGAGCAAAACAGCAGTTAGCTTTATTTCATTTTAACCCACAAGACCGGAGAAGGTGATTAACTGACGGTCAAAGCAGCTAACAGTAAGTTGTTGTGGGTTTTTGTTATCGGGACATAAAGATATGCGTGTTATCTGGTAACGGGACAGGCTGCACCGCTTGACACAGCTGTCTGGCTGCCTGCCTCCTGTGCTATGCGGCCTGCTTGACGAGCTGTCCCCCATCTGTCTGCTGTCCGGGGACACTCCGGCGGCTTCGCGCGGTCAGACAGGTGATTAGCGGGTCAGCGTGTAAAGCAACGCTCACCTACGGCGCCAAACAGGCTAGGCTAACTGCAGGTGGTGGAGATCGTGAAGCTTGTGAGCTAAGCTAGCTGATGGTAACAAAGCCCCGCTGCGTTCACCTTTCCAAATTCTTCTACTTCAGGTTGCCATCTTAATTTTTGCAGGCGACGTATCGAACGTCATGTTTTGAGAGGGCACATGTTACTGCCGAGGGTTTGTGCTTGGAAGGCGAAAGCAGCCTTTAAGACTTACCGATGAGCAGCACATATTTAGATTTTAGTCTAAGAAAACATCCAGGAAAAAAAAAAAAAACACCAAACAAACAGAAACGCATAGCTTCACACCTCTCTCGCCCCTGTCGTCCGCTGTGTTTGGGTGAAAGAGTATAGTTAAAGTAACACAAATAAAGCCGAATTGCTAAATTATGTTGTTCCTCTCTCTCTCTTTGAAAATTTGAAGTTTTGATTAATTTCAGTTTCCTATAGAGTCAGCCTATCAAATAAACTGGAGTTAAATCTGGATTCAATTGTAGCGTGACTGTGCTTATAGCAACCCGAGTAAGTGTAATTGTGAATTTATATTTACCAGAGTCCATTCACTTTGAATGAGCACCTTGTAACGAGGTGGAAAGGTTTTTTTGTGTTTTTGTTTTTCATGCTTAAGTTTTTATTTTAGCTACCGCTAGGTGGAAGCACAGATGCATTAAAATCAACCCAGGGACCGTCATGGGAAGCAAAAGTCATGGTTTCTTCGGGAAATGCGCAAAGAAAGCTGTAAAATGTAATAACAATAGTGATGCATTTTGTTTCAGGCGCCTTTCAAAACACTCAAGGTCACCTTACACACGGTTTAAAGAGATGTTCTGATGCGAGAGGGAGTTAGTGATATGGATATTTGCTGGGAGGGAATTCTAGAGGCCGAGAGCAGAGCCAACTCATGATCGAGACCCCATGGTAGAAGGAAGAGGAGGAGATAGCATCGTGTTAACGTGGAGTAACATCTCTGAGGAATGTTTATAGCACCTTGTTAAATTTAAGGTTTGACCCGAACAACAGAATGGCATCAAAAAATGCAAAATGAAAGGTCTAGCTGAGTGTATTAATTTTCCAAAAATGTCTTTTACAAACTGCTCACGAACATTGTACAATGACTAGTTGCGCTCATGTCTTTCTGCTTTAGACAGTGCTGAGAGCATTAGGAACCATGTTGACACCATTTTTAAAAATAGCGCAAGCACCTTCTCTGCGTTATGTTTATTATCAAACAGAATATATAGTAATGCCAATACAACTGTAATAGGTGCACGTCAGCACACAATGTCAGGAAATGCTTATTAGTCTAGTCTTCGCTTTTTTGTTACCGTGACCTTGCAAGGTCATATCATGCAGACCGCTGTCAGTCAGCTGTGTCGTTGGGTAAAAGTAGTAGTTTGTGCACATGCCATGACATATAAACGTAATGAAATGTGACGAATGGGAAAGCTACAGTAACAGCAGTCTAATAAATGGAGAGTATGTCAAAGTCTAAGCTCTAAAGAAAGCACACCAAACCAGTCGACATGCTTAAGGTTTCTGAAAGCAGAACTGAAGGTTTTGTTTAAACATTCTGAGGAATCTTTTCACAATCACTGTGCTGTTTTTGGAACAACAGGGTCACAATCGACAGCAACAGAAAGCTTCATATTCTCATGTCCATCCTTTCCACAAGAGCTCTGCTGGCACACAGATCAGCAGTTGGTTTCCATGCATGATTGCATCATTCCAACCTGTCTGTGCTTCTCTTATTTACAGCATCTGCAAGTAGACAGCCACAATGAACCCAGTATACAGCCCTGCACCAACAGGGGTCCCCTTTACCAACACTAAGGGTATAGGTTATCCAGGTAACCTGAAGCATAGTGGTTTAAGAAACAAGCATAATTACAAGAAAATATCTCCCAGCATTGAGAATACTATTATATTCTTGTTTTGTTTCTGGTTTTGGCAGCTGGATTTCCTCTAGGATACGCAGCGGCTGCTCCAATGTACACTCCCAACATCTACGCAGGAGCAAACCCAGGCTTCCCTAACGGTGAGAAGAAAGTAACGATGAAATCTGCCCGAGTTTATCTGATAGATCTTGAAACACATCTTCCTGATGCACTTCAAAAGAGTCAAATTGTTCCATCTGACTTCTTGATTTGAATTAATTATAAACATAACGTAATAAAGAATAAAAGTTCCAAAGAGACTCTTAATAACCCTAAAAAGTGTGTGCGCTTCTCTTCTATGAGGGTCCTGTTTTACTGAGCTGCACAGCCAGTGTTTCTTCCAAGCTTCAGCTATTTTGTCCCAGAACAAACGGCCCTAATATGAGCCGTCTTCCTCCCTCTCCAGGCTATGCTCAAAGTGCTCCCTTCAAAGTGTCCTGCTCTCCCAGCACAGGGACCGTCCCACCGTACTCATCCTCCCCAAACCCCTACCCAACTGCTGTGTACCCTGTCAGGAGCACCTACCCCCAACAGAACCCCTATGCACAGGTCAGTCCTTGCTGTATGTGTATATTTTTAATAACACGCTGCCCCTCTTCATCCAGTCTCAGTGCTTGAGCTGTAACGTGTGGTTGTTTGTCCACCAGGCACTAATACCTTCACAACAACAAGGCCCTTACTACACACAGGCTCTGTATGCTCCACCGCCTCATGTCATCCATCACACGACAGTGGTCCAGCCCAATGGGATGCCTGCAGCAATGTATGCCCCGCCTATCCCTCCTCCCCGCAACAACGGTGTCGCCATGGGCATGGTAGCCGGCACCACTATGGCCATGTCAGCTGGTGAGCTGCAGCAGTTTATTGAATCTTATCCAGGATACAAATGTGTTCGATTTGTAGTTTTACCTGTGGCTTTCACTCCTCAGGAACTTTGTTGACAACTCCATCACCAGCGCCCGTCGCTCCCCACCCAGTCACGATGCCCACATATCGGCCTCCTGGCACACCCAGCTACAGCTACGTGCCCCCGCAGTGGTGAAGAGAGAGAAGTGTGAGTATGTTTTAAAAGCATCACAAGTTTGGTCAAAGGTGCAGATTAAAGGTTTATGTTTATACCCGGTGTTCTCTCTGCAGGTCCGGAAGATGGTAGATATGCATTCACACTCCAGTGTTTTTCTCTCGTGGTGACGACCTGCCCCGCCCTGGCAGCGTCCGCTACCAATTCTTCTTCTTCCAGCATAATGTGAATCTAAAACCCAACTACATAGAGTCCCATTTGGATAAGCAGGGGGTGACAAATAGGCCCATCCCCACAACCCCTATTAATGGAATAAGGCTGCATTCCATACCCCCACACCCCCACCCCCTCAACGCCAGCACCTCTACAAACCTGCTGCATATCTCACATCAAACTGCAAAGCCTCCATGCAAACTCTATGTGGACTCTCATGCAGGTTTTTATAGCTTAAATTCGTATGTAGTGAAAAAGGAGTTTGGAATAGTTTTTTTCTCTTTAATTTGGGGGATTAAATATGATGTTGAATGCATGTGTATATATAGATTTACAAAGTAATGCTAGCTCAATTCTCCCTGCTGTGACAGATGCAAATTCAATAAAAGGCACAAATCCAAAGGAACTAAGAAGAAAAAAAAAAAGAGTAATAATCTGCAATGCTGAATCACCAGTGACTATGTCTTAAATGTGAAAGAAAAAAAACAGACGAGAAACGTTTATTCATGCAAAAACATACCTGCGCCGTCCATCACGGGCCAAACTGTACTATTTTTCACCGCTTTGTGTTTAGGTAAGTGGTTTTTATCGTTTTCTTTCAGTGATGCAGTGTTTGCATAATGTCTTACCATTTTTGTATTGTAGGAACAAAAGATGGGACTTTGAGTTTGTGCCTCTGTGACTGGTGGCCATTCCAACACTTTTACTTTTTCTGGCCTGTTAAACTTTCTTCTTTTTCTTTTAAACAAATGGTGTTTCAGTTTCTTTTTTTCCCCCAAAAGTCTGAAGCTGCTCTTGCTTGGGTGATATATGATGTATTCACTTATTTTAGCCAGAAGTGTTCTTGGTGGGGAACAAGTATAGGAAGTTATTAGAAGTCAATTGCACCCATTTAATAAGAGTGGATGAGCAGGAAGTGTGTGTGTGTGTGTGTGCGCATGTGTGTGAAAGCGGGACTCGAACGGAAACCATTCTGAATGGTGCCATACAGTGCAACATGCTTAGAATTTTAGACTTACATGTCACTCTAATGAATTTACTCTTAGGCAGATTTGAAGCACTACATCATTAAATCACCGCTCAACGTGGACATGTTAGGGCACCGTAATGATATTAAACTCCATTTGTGAATAGCACTACTGAATGAAGGCACTAATTCCAAACGGTTTGTAAAAGATATTTGACTTTTTCCGACATCGCTCGCTGTCTTACCTCAAGTCTCCAGGCTAAAAATCCACCAATGTCACTGTTTCAGACATGCTTTTCTATGTTGCCTCGGTCACCTCAGTTAAACATGTTTTGTAAATGTTATTTTTGTGACTTTGGTTGCTGTTTTGTATTCTAAAGAAAGACCAAAAATAAAAACAAATATAAGAATAACCTGTGTTGTGCATGTCTTCTCACTGGGTGTGTTGGGGCAGCCAGAAATGATGACAAAATAAAGAAGAACATGAAACAAAATATATGCTGGACGATTCAAACTGGTTTGAAAGGCAATATTTGGTATGACAATTTTTTTTATGACCACATGACATGCCACATTTTCAGGTAATGGCTCTTTGGGAATTTGTATTTTAAACCTGGAACTCAAAATATAAAGAAACAAGGGCCGACTCAGGACTTTTACACAGTTCTGATTATGATATTGTACTGTAGTCCCCATGGCTCTGTTCTAAATTTTTGGTTTAAGACATTTTATTCTTAAAGCTACTCATTGGTAATTGAGGACAAGTCAAACAACTTTCTGTAACTTAATTTCATAAAACAATATTTTAAGTATTATCATTATTATTGTTGTTTGGAGAGAAGTAGTAGCATAAACCACTGGCTGCTGTTTAACAGAGGATGGCGTCAAAGCTTTCCTACGTCAATTGGAAAACGAAGAAGAAGATTTCCCAGCTTGCAGTTCGGCGCGCGAATTTGGATTTTGTTATGGTCAAGCCGTAGCCTGTATGGCTCAAACATGGTACTGTACTGTTAAACGTTACTCTAACCATTTTTCTCTTTGACAGAATATCCTAGTTTTTATTCTTTAGACGTGTCGGTGTAAGTCTGAGTCTGTTTGCGGCTGTTTTCTCGTGAGCTCGTGTCATTAAGTCTAAACTTTGCATTTATTTCTTAATTGTAGTCTAAGTGGTTATTGGGAGAACAAGCTAAAAGACAGAGGTGAAGTTTTATTAATGCTTGTTCTGAAAGCCAATAAACAATAAGTAGTAAACACGTGAGTGTTGAGGGGGTGAAAGTTATTATTATTATTATTTAGCTAATTAGCACTAAGTTTATGCGCTCGTCTGCGCGCGCCATGTAGCAAAGCTAAAGTAGGCTTACATTGACAAGTGCGAATTAACATTAAGCAACACTAAAATGAGCTGAAAGAATTAATTTATTGTTGTGAGGCAAACACGGTTGATTTGCGTTGGCAGGAAGCGAGCAGAGATACGCTTGTAGATAGTTTTGGAAACGACAGGAGCAGCGGGACAGCCAAATCAGCTGATCGCTTTCAAGACTTGTGGAGGCAACTTGGAGAGTGTCACCAAAATGCACTTCAGGGTAACTGACAGTTTGATCTCACCACGTTCATGCTGGCTTTCATATCTATAATATGAAGTTCAGAAGCTAAATGAAAACACATGTCATCATTGCACTTGTTGCTGTTTCTAGAATTGGAAGCAAAAGTAAGCAAGCTGAAAAAGGAACGTTGCCTGTGAGTATGTTGTGTCATTTTGCGTTTAATGAGAAAGACACTTGAGTCTTAGTAAGTTATGTATGAAGGGTAAAGTGATGTGTTTGTCCTCTACAGAGATGCGCAGAGGCTTGAAGTGTTTTACAGTCGAAACCAGCAGCTCAAGGAGCAAAATAAAAACCTGCAGGATGCCATGGCTCTCCTGGAGGAAAGGTAATTTACCCAAAGATGAATGCACGTGCACTCCACTGTTATTCCCTTTGTAGCAAATGCTTGTTTGTTTGTTTGGAATATATGTGTCTCGTTGAACCTCTGTTAAATTCTAACTATAACTTAGGATGGGAGAGCTGCAGTTTGGCACTGATGTGGGATTTCTAATTAACTGGAGCAACATGATACCAAAGACAAGAATAACCTTTTCTGATTCATTGTATGGGTGCTTCAGATTCCCCCGCAGACTGAAAGTTAACAAGATTTAATGTGTTGCATTAAAACGGTGTGAAACATAAAGATTGCCAGCAGTGCTTTCCCTTTCCAGGCTTCGAGCAGCAGAGTGTGATCGATGCTCCATCTTAGAGGAGAACATGAAAAACGGTCAGCAGCAGAATCTGCGTCTTATCGAGAAACTAAGTGAGTGTTTTCATTTCAGTGTCCAACAGCCATTAATAGCCCTCTCTGATGTGCATACACATATGCAGATGCAATCTTTCACAACAGTAGTATGTTATATAATATGACGAGTAATATACTAGAATAAATGTGAAAAAACCCTAAAAATTCTTTAAGATTCTCAGTTTGTTTAAGAACAGAGAAAAACATGTTCTTTGCAAACCTTTGTTCCTCAGAAAATGAAAGAAACCTGCTGGAGGATGAAAACAATAAGCTGCGAGCTGAGCTGCAAAAACTGAAGAGTTCTCGGTAAGCTGTGTCGCATTAATGTTTTTGTTCACGAGAAAAATATGAGAAATGTTTTAAAAAGTTAAAGCAATAACTTGAAGTACTTTGAAGTTTATCAGTATCTCGCATCATGGAGGAAGTTTGACTCTTTACAGACTTGCTTCAGTTCATTGAGGTCTGGATTTTGACTGGGCCATTGCACAACACCCTGACTCTTCTGTTTTTCAGCCATTCTGTTGAATGTAGATTTGCTGCTTTGATTCAGATCATTGTCTTGTTGCATGAGCCTGTTATTGCCAAGCTTTAACCGTCAGACGGATGACTTGGAATACTTTGGTATATATGGGAGTTCTTGGATGACTCAGACACATCAAATCATCACCACTCCACCACCGTGCTTTGTGGTGATGTATTTGGGTTTTGCCAAACACACCCCTCTGCATTATATGTACACGTCTTCAGTTTGGTCTCGTCTGTTCCAGTAGTCTTGTGGTTTGTTTGTGAGCCTAAGCTTTGCCTTCATGTTCTTTTTAGAGAGAAGCAGCTTTCTCCTGAAAATAAGCCATCCCTGTTCATCGTTTTCTGACTGTGCTGTCATGAACTTTAACATTTACACACTGAGACCTGTAGAGTCTGAGATGTAACCCCTGCTTTCTTATTTTATTGTATTTCTTTTTACAGTTTCTGAGCATTGCGCAGTCTACTCATCAAGGTGTCTCTTGACATTGATACATCTGTCTCACAGAGACTGTTCTTCATTTGGTTAGATATTGTGAACGGGTTTTTCTTAGCCAATCATCCACTGCGCTCATGTACTTAAGATGTCTTCAGTTGTCTTTCATGTGTTTTGGTGTTGCTGAGCCTGGTTTGTGCATTTATTCTTTTTACAAATGCAAGTTTATTCTACTGCTCCGATAGGTTTATTTTGGTTTTATGGCTTCTTCCGTTTGCGCCCAGATTTTAATTAATTAATTTTTTAACCTCATATTAAAAGTTCCAGTGAAAAGATACTTAATAGATTTTAAATATTTAAAATGGGGGACTGTGTCATGATTCCTGCAAATAGCTGTAAACAGTGCAATACTTTTGTTAAACCTCTTGAATTAAAGCTTCTATAAAAATGTGTATCACCTACATTGGTGAGACATTTCAGGAGTGAACAATACATTATCCCAAGCTGCTACTCAGTATTCTTATTTTTATGTGTTTATAAGCTTTTTGGTGCTAACAGTCCCAGTTTCTTCTGTGGCCCCTTGGGAAAATAAATTTCCCCCCTCAGTAGGCTTGTAGGTTCAGGTTCGGTAAGTTTTAAAGTTTCAGTTTCCAGTGAAGCACTACACGTGTGCTTTTCTTTTCAGGTCTGAATCCAAGGAGGCCTCACCCGCAGAACAGGAAGAGGGCGTTATTCCAGACTCCCCGATCTTGCCCAGCTCACTGCCCGTGGTAAACAGATTGAAGAAACAGAAAAATAACGACCAAATGAAGCGTGTGCGCTATGCAGAGGTGCCTCTACCACAGTCTAACAATTCGCTCTTCAATGGTCAGTCCTCTTTAAAGTAGCTTCCTCTTCGTCACCTGTCTGAAGACACAAACCAGTTTTCTAATCTAAATTCTTTTTTATACAAAGATCCTGAGGGTGCCACAAAGAATCCTGGAAGAGCAGAAGTGCTCGTCCCTAACACCTGTGAAATGGACGCGTCGCAGATCTCAAGTATGACTTCATCCATTATTGGTCTTCCGTAGATGCGATCATGAGCGTGTTGCTGTTAACATGTCTGTTTCCATTTTCAGACGATGTGACTGAAGGTGAAGAAGAGGCAGCAATTGCAGAAACTTGTGGCCTTGAACTTATTGAAAAGCAGCAGATGGTGTGTATAAGCAGGATTTGAAACAAATGATGATCTAATAAAAATGTAATGTGATCAGGCTTTAATAAAAACGAATCTTAGGTGTGATCAAACAGATTAGCTCTCTTTCTCACCTTAGAATCCCAGGAAAGCCCCAAGCCAGCAAAGAAGCTTCAGCACTCTCTGGAGGCAGGACGTTCGTTTAAAGTAAGCATTGAGACATCATCTTCTGCTGTGGCAGACACCTCCATGTGGAAAAGAGAAAAAAAAATAACAGTTCGGTGCTACAGTTATACTTGTTTCCCTCTTCAAGGCCTTCATCCACACTGATGCACAGTCCAGACTCAACATCTAAAGGGTCCCCATCTCTTCTCCCACGCATCAAACGGTTTGCAGAAGGCGGCAGTGTTTGCAGGGCAAAACGGGTGAAGGAGGGAAGTCCAGAGGTACAGGAACGCAGTCAACGAGGACTCCAAGAAGACGCGGACAACCAGGAGGAAGGCGAACACCTACAGCGTGAACAGATCAGCCAGACTGCCATATCTGTGAGCAATCCAAGCATCAAGAAGGAGCAACTAGATAGGAAGGCAAGAGAAGGCAGTAACATCATTGTCAAATTTTAACCACGTTTAGTGTCCAGGCTGTTTAATTAAATGTAAGACAGAAATATAGAGTTTCAAGGTGCTTTTTATATCACACAGGTACAGTCAGGACATAATATGAGCACCAGCCAAAAGCCAAGCACTTCTTGTAGCAGTCCTGCTTTCAAGAAGCCAAAAATGAAGGTTAAACTGGATGCAGACGGGAAGAAAAGAACCCCTGTGCAGGATCTGAATGCTTCACAAGGCCAGCATGAAGCTAAAGATGGTGATTTCTCTTCAGCAAAGTCACTTGAAGGACATGCGGATATTTCTGATTGTTGTACAGTTTGAAATGCTCCTCAATAATATTCA